TCAAGGTTAAAAGGTGTATACAACCAAGAGAGTTTGGACCTCTCTCACATGCACAGCTACACCATTTTTCAGATGCTGGTGAATCTGGATATGGAACAGTGTCATATCTGCGTATGCAAGATAATAGGAAATCCATCCACGTCGCATTCTTGATGGGCAAGGCAAGAGTAACACCTCTAAAACCTGTCACTATTCCACGTCTGGAACTAACAGCTGCTGTAGTTGCCGTCCGAGTGGATCTCATGTTAAGGGCTCAGTTGAGAATGAAACTCGAGCAATCTATGTTTTGGACAGATAGTACATCTGTACTCAAATATATAATGAATGAGGACAAACGATTCCTTACCTTTGTGGCAAACAGAGTCTCATTCATTACAACTGCAACTAAACAATCACAATGGAGATATGTAAGCTCAAAGGAAAATCCAGCAGATGATGCTACAAGAGGGCTCAAGGCTGGGAACGTTGTTCATAGCAGCCGCTGGATCGAAGGACCAAGCTTTCTGCAGAAGCCAGAAAGTGATTGGCCAACCAATTTAATGGAATGCTCCTTAGAACCAGAGGACCCTGAAGTCAAAGGTGAGGCCACAGTAAATGTTACTCAGGTAAAAGACTTGCTTGATGCTACATGTCAATTGATGGTGTACTTCTCAGACTGGAGAAGGCTCAAGGTTGCTGTTGCTTGGTTCCTTAGACTGAAGGAAATCCTTCGTTCAATGAGAAATAAGGAAAAAAGACCGCAACCTTATAACCCAATTTGTAAAGGTACTACAAAGGAGAAAGTAAAGAAAACGCAACTGTACAGACTATCTTCAAAGGATCTTCTGGAAGCTGAGCTTGCAATTATTAGATTTTGCCAGCAACAACGATTTGGAGAGGAGATTGCTACGTTGTCAAGTGGGAAAGGGTCTGTGAGCAGGCACAGCTCAATTTATAGATTAGATCCTTATCTTGACGATAAAGGCCTCTTAAGAGTTGGGGGACGACTGACAAAGGGCTCCTTACCAGAAGAAATAAAGCATCCCTTCGTTCTTGCAAAGGATCAACATGTAGCAAGTCTCATTCTAAAGCACATTCATCAACAGCTTGGTCATAGCGGTCGTAATCATACCTTATCCACACTAAGGAGAAAATACTGGATCACAAAGGCCAACTCAGCTGTAAGGAAGGTTATCGCAGAATGTAATTTTTGCAGAAAATATCATGGAAAAGCCTTGGAGCAAAAAATGGCAGATTTACCCAAGGAAAGAATCTTGCCAGATAACCCACCATTCACCAATGTCGGAGTTGATTACTTCGGACCTATTGAAGTGAAAAGAGGACGAGGTACAGCTAAACGCTATGGAGTCATTTTCACCTGTTTAGCCAGCCGAGCAGTGCACTTGGAAGTGGCTAGCTCTCTAAACACAGATGCCTGCATTAATGCTTTGCGTCGTTTTGTGAGTCGAAGAGGTCAAGTCGCTCACATCCAATCGGACAATGGAACAAACTTTGTCGGAGCAGACAGAGAGTTAAGGGAGGCTCTTGAATTGCTGAAACATACCCAAATAGCGGATGCTTTGCGACACATTGGAATAAGATGGAGTTTTAATCCGCCTGGAGCATCACATCATGGTGGAATTTGGGAACGGATAATTCGTATGATCAGAAAGATTCTGAGATCCGTTCTTCAGCAACAACAGTTGGACGACGATGGATTAAATACGGTTCTATGTGAAATTGAAGCAATTTTAAATGACAGACCCATCACAAAGCTTTCTGACGATCCAAAAGACCTAGAGCCACTTACACCAAATCACATCCTCCTGATGAAAGGAAAACCATCTTTACCACCCGGACTATTTGACCCTCAGGATATGTATCTGAAGAGAAGATGGAAACAGGCTCAGTACATCTCAGATCTTTTTTGGAAACGATGGATACGCGAATACCTGCCTTTGTTACAGGAGAGACAAAAATGGAACCAAAAGAAGAAGAATCTAAAACCTGGAGATATAGTCATTATAATGGATTCTTCTGCACCGCGTGGTTCCTGGCCACTTGGAAGAGTTCTGGAAGCCATTCGTGACAAAAAAGGACTTGTGCGATCTGCACGTTTAAAAACAAAGACTAATATTCTGGAAAGACCTGTAACTAAACTTTGCTTGTTACATGAGACTGTAATCTAAAAGTGTGTTACTTATGTTTATTTATGTGAATGTATAGGTCTAAAGTAGACTGTATTAGTGGCTCCTTATTTTCTTTGTGATTAGAATTGCCATGTCTGATAGCCATTTCAATTAGGGGCCGGGGTGTAGGAGCCATTCTTGGGTTAATACCTTATGTGGTCACTAGAGGTCACCTTTTTCTGTTTTGATTATGTAATGTAAAGGTATTTAAGGTAGACGCACGTAATCGGCGTCAGGTGTGTCATTGAGAAGGCAAACAGTTTGTGACCGTTGCGCTGTTATGCTAAGTCGATACAGAATAAAGACCAAAAAGGACAAGATACATACTGCTGGATTTATTGGACTGTGAACTTAATTCATGCATACCAGTGACATCGCGTCACCCCCGTTAACGACCACCTCAGTGGCTTCAAGCGTAGGCTTAGCCTCTACAGCGTCATTTTCAAGGGATCCTCTGATAATTCCTGGCAGGTTCATCTGTTCAGTTACCACAGGTTGAGTGATGAATGTCACTTTCCCACTTTCACCTTCCCCTTTATCTATTTCAAAATAGCCCTTCACCTGTGTTCTAGCAGTCTCCGCTGTAATTATGAAATTATTGAACCAATTTTATTAGTACACCTCCCTCTCTCTACAGATGGAAGAGGGTAGTCGCAACGTGCGCCTTGGCACTCTCATTGCTCTCATGGTGGAGGAAGGGCAGGACTGGAGACAAGTAGAGATCCCCTCTTCAGATGCTGCACCTCCATCTGAAGCTACACCTGCTACAAAAGCAGTTGCTACCTCGGTTGTGACCTCTTCTGCTCCCTCTCCACCTTCTGCACCAAAACCAGTCACATCAGGACCGTGAGTGTCACTTTCATGCTTTTGTTTTTTTGTTCGTTTGTTTTGCTTAATCAAATGACATCTGTCAAATATGTAGTTTAATAAATCTGATGTAGAGTCCATAGACCTTTATTCACTCTACAGAACAATCCTTTTTAACCCCTATTGGTTACATGACGAGTTTTTCCATGCGCTAAATGTGCTTACACAGTAGGCCATTGTGGTTTCTAGCACTCCAATTTGATCAAAAGTAGATAAAGAGATTCCGTAGCCTTAAGATACATAATGAATGAATGAGGTTATCTTTTCTTGTTTAGAGCACATTGTGCTGGTCGGATTGGATTTTGCAGTATCTACCACCATGTAATATGCTGAATGAGATGATCTTTTTCTGTTCACATTTCAGAATGTCCCTATTTACACAATAAATACTGTTGTAAAAGGCAAAGGAACCACTCCCTGACAAACGGAACTTGTTTTGCAAACATTTTTTGCTGAGCACATTCTCATATTCAGATTTGAACTTTGGTAACATCACTGTGGCAGGGCCAAAAGGTCAAGCATGGATGTATCTAGAGTGGAAAACAACATTGACAGTTAAAGACTTTTTTATGCATTATTTTTTTCAGTATAAATATTTTTAGATGTGAAGATTTTTTTTTTATTTCACTAAAGTTATCGTGTACATTGTTGCACTAGTTAAGTCAACCATATAACTGACTGTGTCTATAGAGCCCAAACGGTATTATGTATTAGCTGATACATCAGTATTGGCCTTTACAAAATATGATAAATGAACAAGTAAAAAGTAAAAAAAAAAAATATGGGGAAAAACACAATTCAGTCGTCATATTACTGGTGATCTTCCATAGTTTATCCACCAGATGGGACTCTACAAATTCCCTGTTGGCAGCACACGTCTGTATGCAGAAACAGAACAACCAGCTCTTTTGAGCAGAGCGCGCTCAGGGACTCATGAATAACTGGACGTAATAAATGTTAGAGAAATTTCTTTATCTGTTCATATTTTTGTGCTAGAAACGAAAAAACATTGACTGATATGTCAGAAGAAAGATGTTAAATTACACTAGTCTTTATAGTTAAGCAATGGAGTTCAGTGTCACCACATGGTATTGGGTAAGCTGTCCCATGTAAAACTCATTTGAAGTTTCTCTGCAACTACCTTGAAGCTACCAGATGAGGTCTTTAAAACTAAAAGTTTTGCCACTCTCTCGTTTTCTTTTCCAGGTTACGTCTGAGCCCAGCAGCACGACACATTCTGGACACTCATGGTTTGGATCCAAAACTGGCCACACCCACAGGCCCTAGAGGAATAATCACAAAGGAGTAAGTGCCTAAATGACACAAGTTGTTTTGGTTTTTTTTGTTTGTTTGTTTGTTTTTTCACTTAACTGGCTTAACTTTCTTTTGTCTTTTTCTTTTTTTTTGCAAGATATATCCTGCTTAAGGCAAGCATATGGGATATATACCTTCCTATAATAATAAACATCTGTGCATCAGTTATGCTGGAGGTTGTAAAAAGTGCAAACAAGCTGTCAGGCTTATTTATGGTGGCAAATTTAAGACTTTTTTTTTTCTTATTTTTGTTGAAGGTCACATAACACCCTTATAGCTTATGCTTTAATCTTTGACTTACGGTTGTTTGAGTGTTTGCACACAAACCTTGAGATGGCCAATGATTATTATGTTTGCTAAAATCTCTATAGATTCAGATGCTAGACATAATCATATGCAGGTCAGTCTGAAAGGTCAAGAGTTTAAAGTAAAATTATCAGTCTCAGTTTTTGCATGCACTGTACTCTGTTTGTTTACACTGTTAGTGGTGTATCAGCTTAAAAAGGATTGTTTGGTATGGTAATCAGTCACCATAATATTGCAGAATCTCTAAAGGAAGGAGATGTTAGAAGAACAGGTCAATGTGGACAGTAATGTTGGAGAAATTTCTCTAACATGGTTTAAAGTATCAGGTATTTAAATCTTCATGCAACAGAAAGTGGCAAACAGACAAGGATCTAATGGCTACCTGCTGTCAGTGGGGACTTGATTGAATGCTCTCGTTACCCAACTAACACCCTGCTGAGGGATCTCATTAAGAAACTTCTGTTGCCATAGCAACCCAGTCTCTGGGACACACTGGTGACCATAGAAATACAGACCATATGCTTTCAAGGGTGTGTATGTGTTAGACAGTAAGGGAAGTATGCATGAAGTCTTTTAAACTAAATGCTGTAAAGAATGATTACTCCTAGAACTAGGGTGGGTTTTTCTTTTCTCATAAGATAAACCTTCTCATAATTTCACCACTGTGATTTACGTTAAATGTTTTCAACATGTCACCAATTTTATTAACAAGTGAGTTTAAGGCTGCAAGAAAGCCTAGAAAACCTGTTAGGCACTTGTTTTGTTTTAGCAATCCCGGTCAGTAGATGTACATCTTGATCGCAAACTAAAAATCATATGTAAATGTTTCTTAACAACAAACAAGCAAGTACGATATGCTGCTCTACACTAGATACATTTAGATATGTATTTTTAATACAAAGCTACATTAATTTTCTAGGTTATAAGCATAAACATGCTGGGTGTTTTGTGTGTCAACATTTCAAGGTTTTAAATTGTTCGATTAGTGATGCAGTTTTAATTGTATTTCATGTGGTTGCTCAGAGACCTCCTCTTTAAACCTTCAGCTGGGCTCCAGATTTGCTTGAATGCTTTAGCGGAATATTCACTTGATGAAACTTAAGCTGATCCTCAGAAAGGAAAGGCTGAGGCTGAAAACATATCAAAGGAAGAGGGACTCTTTTAATTAAAAATTAAAAGGCTAACCATCCCTCTGTTATTGAACAATGTGCTCTTCAAAGAGCAACCAGAAAATCAAAGCAAACAAGCAAAAAGCTACAAATACAAAGCTTTATTTCTAAGGCATTACCTAGCTGGTATCTACTAAAACTCTGCAGGCAAGTCTGTCACTGCCAGGGGTGATATAAAATATTGGTACAGAGGCATACTATGTTGTTTACTTAGTGATAATATCAGTAAAAGCTTGGGAGGCCCGGCCAGTTTGACTTACCAGACTTACAATTTCCCTAGTCATTGTTGTGGGATTTACCAGCTAGAGGAAATGTTTAACAAGTGGTTTCTTTGCTTATGTTTTTAGCCCTTTACTTCCCACCAGTGACTTTTTTGGTTGGAGCAATATCACAGAAAGGCATATTCCAAGTATTTGGTATATATTTAGGAAATGAATAAATATTTAGGGAGACTAAAACCAAATGTTTTCATATCGCTTTGACATAAGCTTTGTACTTTCTTGAGTAAAAACAGACACAAATTCGCATTCAATTTCAGTGCTAGCCAGTTGTGGCGTAGAACGTAGAGCACGTTGTGTAACTGTCAGAAAGTCGGTGTGTTGGCAATATATTCTGCACGAGTTTCCCGTGATGTATCCATTAAAGCGTGAGTGTGTGAATGTTAGCTTAAAACGCACTTTTTAGAAAAACGTGATTGTGTGTGAACAGGTAATTGAGGCTTATAGTAAGAAAGCACTTTGAGTGCTGAAATAGATTAGAAAAGTACTGTGTAAGTACTGGTCAATAATCAAAAGCAGAGCTTTAAAACAGAAAGTGTAAAGGCAAATGCATTTTTTGCTCTTTTTCACCATTTTTATCACCATTGTCATTAACAAAGATTGACTCGTCCAATGCTGTGACAGCTAATTAAAAACCAGCACCAGTTGTGTTTGCTATATTTTCACAACAGGAATATATTAACCCTGTGATAATCCAGGGGAGATATCATTTATGTTCATTTTGATTGCATTAGTGAAAAGGATAGCCAGTAATTCTGAAGCTTTCACATTGCTGTGCATTTGAAGTATCTTTAGTTTGGGAGGCCTATACTTTTAAATTTAACTCCTTTTTGATCTTGTTAACACCTAGATGTAAATCTACACCCTTTTTGTTACACCCTGAATTGTAAACAATATTCTAAACAATAATATTGTTAATAATATTGTTGTTTTATTTCTGAGTTTTGTAGTGGAAATGTGCTGTTTAATGTGTGCTTCTACACTGATGTTATTTTTTTAAAGCTGAAATCATTAAGAAAACGCTAGTCAGACTACACTACACTTATTTTTTTGTAATACATCATTTTGATTCCCTCTGAATTTAAAAGCATTGATTTCTTTTTGTTTGTTTATTTTAAATTCATGATCCCTGCAGTGTGTTCAGACTTGTCTTTTCATGCGTGCATGTGAGTGCTGCTTCTGTGCCTTTTTAATATTCTGGTCACCTTCTCCTAGTCTTTCTACAGCTCCTTTTCCTTGGCTGTCAGTAATGATATAAATGGTTGGTCTGAAAAAGGCATTGCAGAAAGCCACATTTAAAAAAAAAAAAAAAAGCGGTATCTGCGGTGTCATCTTTTAGTGGCCCCTCCAGGTTGCTGTTGACTTGACTTGAATTTATTCAATAACATAAAGGCTTTATTGATTCTTATGTGGGACTTTCATAATACTTTGTGGTATTGAAATTGATAGCCCTCTGTAATCAATAAACACTCTCTGTCGTCCTTTGTGGTTAGCTGAGGGACTTGCAAACTGCCCCTTTCCCTCCACAAACACATACTTTTATAGGTAAGAGAAAGGGAGGAGTGAATGCGCCAGACGGAACAAATTGGCAGCTGTGGGGCTTTGGCTATTCCTAGCGCTATGCTAGGGGTGAGAGGCAGCTGGTCCAGACAAAAGACCCCTTACATATCCAATGAACTAGAACTAAAGAGCTAGA